TTCCTACAAGATGTTATTATTTGCGTCACGTATTGTATTGTTTGAGTTTCATCCCCTTCCAATTTGCCAGTAGGGCTTATTTTGCATTGTCTTGGCCCTGCTGAGTTGATTCTAATATGCCGGGGTGGTAAGTTTAATTGCGTATTTTTAAACTTAATTTAGACTGCATCCGGCTGGAGAAAGATACATTTGTAGTCAAAACGCGATATTCCAGAAATCTGCCTCAGCAGTCTGCAAATGAGACGGCCTTTGTTAGTTCGACCTCTCTTTACTTTGACTAAGGCTGCTACCATGCACTTAGCTGTTTAAAAACCGTAGTAAATTTACCTTGATTTATGATAGTCTCATTACAACAAAGCGCTTGTCGAAAATACCGAAGCACAGGAAAAACGCAAATGAACCGCGGTCGTTTTCTCCGTGAAAACACCTAACACTTCACGACAGTACTACAGTGGAACCTCTATATAACCAAGTCCTCGGTATTAATCGAACGATTTTCTTTTCCCGGCCAGTAATCTTAAAATGTATGAAAAAGAACCTCGATATATAACTAAACCTCGTTATATCGAACAATCTTTGCCAGTGCCTTGGCACTTAATTGGTTATATCGAGTTTCCAATGTAACTAAATATAAGCTTCTATTGTATTTGCATTCATTTGTCTCTTGAAAGTGTGTGTTGGACTTTTAGAAAACTCTTTTGTGCCTGCAAAGCCTTACTGGTAGCGTACTTTTTTTTAAATAGGCGCTTTTTTGTATCTTTATACGATTGATCCATTTTTCACCCACTGCCTTTTTGGCCAAGGAAGTTAAACCATACTGCCTATAAATTGTTTTGAATCTGTATGTGGCAATTTAAGTTAGCACAAATTATACGCCCCTTAATAAATGTCATCGTCTTCGGAACGTATTTAAAGTATTTTTGACCATGCAACTTTAAAAAATTATATCTCTGCTGTTATTTACAGTTCCATATCAAGTATCAAAAAAAGTATTTCGGTCTCAGGGAACCCATAACATTCTACACAAAAAAAATAGACAAGGCATATTTTTAGATAATTATTTTTAAAAAAATTTAAGAGTGTAATTTTGCCAGAAAAGTTGTATATTTTATGTAATACAGTACAAATAATTTTTTTCTTCAATATCGGAGTAAAATAGCCCAAATATCGGTTTAAAATATAGAGCGACTAACAATTTTCTACAAATTTATTTTGTGACCCTATCGGATTATGCAAATGAGGTCAGCAAAGAAGTAAAGATTCTTACTGTTTTATTACCTTTATTTTCGCGTTTATTTCGCTTGTTATCCTCCAGAATCCTCCAAAATAATTCGCTTGACTTGTATGTGGTCGAAGTTCGTCGATCACGGCTTCGCAAAAGCCGCGACAAAATTCTTCCCAACGGAAGCGCCATTTTTACTAGATTTGAAAAAATCGTTGCGTGAAGCTCAAACTCCCCAGGGCCTGGAACTTGGCACATAATTTGCTAAATTTATTCACTTCCTGTGGGCCAAATGTGGAGGCATTCGGAAGTAACACAATTTTTTGCGAGTGTTGGTCGCGTCATCGACCAAAACTGGTCGAAACGTTCACGTTCCGAAGACAATGAGATTTATTGGCGGCAAAATAATTATGATAATCACTATGAACAGGGTCTGAGCAGCAAACACGCAAAGAAATGGAAATTATATTTAAAGACAGTGATTGTGTTGTCTGAGTTTTACATTTCGTAAAGCAGCTTAATTTTGCAGATCGATCAGTGACAAGCTAAGCGGTCGAAAAATGATGTTGCCGTAGACGCATAGTTTTCAGCTGGAATTAGGGTTGGCTGAACACAGTTCGATAGGTTTTTGATCGTTATTACCGTCAATATTACACTCCTTCCCTCTCAAATACGCCTTTTCAGGGGGAGAAATTTAATAGGTCCAAGTGTTGTTTGCAGGATACGATATGATGTGTGCATGGTCTATGACTTGCAGCAACTCTCAAAAAATTAAAGATTTTCCAGAGCCAGTCGGCAAAATTAACGAAAATGTCAACTTCGCATCCGATAATTTCTGATGCAAATTAAAACAAGTGTTGAGATCTGCCAAAGACACCTCAGTCTAGTCAAATAAAAGGAGCAAAGTGATTGGAGGGCATTTCTGGCGTGAGATTAATCGCAAGAAAATGAAAGCCGCACTTTGGTTGTCTGTATTCTGGGAAAGGAATGTACGTCGGGTTGATTAGAAGCAGCCGTTACCGGTTCAAAGCTCAAATTTCGCATGCACAATATGTATTTATATGACATAACATTTGTTAGGCTAAAAGTGTAAAAGTGAGGGTTGGTTCGTTGCCATAGTGACATGGATGATTGAAAACAAGCATAAAATTTTGAAACAAGGGCTCTCACATTGCTCTCTAAGCCACGTATGTGTGTGCGGGCGCCAAGTCATGTGATATACGAGAGGCAACTTGTGGACATTTTTCTCAGCTTGTCGTTTTTCTTTAAAAGCTTATTGGCTGCATATCTGCTCATGATAAAGTTGTTAAACATGCACATAAATGGCCATAGGTTAAAGCAGTTAGTTTCAATTACATGCTTTTGGTAATGACCTGGGCCTGACTTTGTTGCTTTCAAAAGGTAAGCTTAATTTCGACGGCTATACGTAAAATAGGCATATCGTCAGCATAATTTTTAGATCAATTACACATTTGCAAATGGCTATTAATTTTGTTGCGCTAGCCTCACAGAGACTTCATCAATGGTCAATGTGAGTTAAGGAAACATAAGCAGGATGCATGAGTTTTTGCCAATATCCTTGCATTCTCATCGGGAAGCCGACTGAAATGCTTTGGAATTTAAGAAGGGTTGCAGGGTCGGAATTACATGATTACCACATACACGGAGTCGACAGGCTAGATCGGCCTGATGAAGAAAAGCGATTGTGTGGCATCTTTATCTCTAGGATTGTTGAATTTTACTTAACTATTTTTAAACTTGTTTACTTTTTGAGTCTGGAACATTGGTTCGCGGATACAACTTTGTATTGTCCCCTTTTTTATCGGATGAGTAGGTACTATTCTACGCATGCCGTTTATGTCTTCGTCGTGGGTAAATTGCATGTCTGTGCAGGTTGAAACCTCGCTTTTTATTATTGGCCGAGGACAAATGTAGTGCAGTTAAGAGTTTGCAATTTTTCCAGGGAAACAATGCCAAAATACATAAAAACACGCCACCATAATTAACACACTCAAATAAACTAACCCTATTTTTTTTCAGGTAATTCCTTCAAAGGATCGACGTATTATGTTTTCCCCCCGGAAAAAGACGACTCGCGGAAAGGCTGACAACAAAGAGCGAAAGCGGAAGGGACCCTCTCCTATGTTCATTTACAGGCAGAATGCTTTTTCAAGACGTTCTATCGAGGCCAAACCATATGCAGCAGTAGGGACGTGGTTTGTGGGACCCAAGGCCGAGAATTCTGACATATTTACCAGTCTGATGAATGAAGCCATCGAGTCTCATTTTCAATTTCGTCGAGGGTAACTTAACATAATTCATTCCAACATTTTCCTTTGTAGTCGAGCTTGCTTTAGCAGAGCGAGACTCTAAAAACGAAAGGGTTTTTTTTTTTTTTCGTGTGTCCTCCTCAAATCGTCGGCCATTGTCCCAGGCGTTCCTAGGGGAGACCGTTGAAACTGGGGATAAGAATCGTGACGACTTTCATTGTATGCAAATGATCTCGTGATAAGCATGCGGTATATTTTCGACGATGACTGAAATGAAGCACAAAATTGATCACGTTTCGACCGTTTGGCAATGATGTAATTTTCCCCGAATTGAGGCCCTTCATTTTCCTGTAATTATACACGCGCATTTAAAAGTAAATACCCTGAAGAATACTCGACCGTCGATATTATAGCGGGAAAATCCTGTTTTGTTGGATTTCCCCATTTAATGTATATCAGTTCATAAAATGGGAGAAACCCGACCTCAACCAGTAAATTTTTGTGATTTGATTTCTTTCTCTCTTCCTGTCTTTCTATTTTTCCCCATAAGTTTTTCATTTTATACTATCAGGACGAATTGATGCTTATAATCTTAAAAAAATTGTACAATATTTGCTATAACATGGGTTAGTTTATTCCCTTAGTGAAATCGTTGCCGTTTGACTTAACTTGATGCAAGCGGGCCCTGAAGTATTGTTTCTCTAACAATATTAAATTGATACCACAATACCTGCGGCGTATCATTTCAAAACGTGACCAGGGCTGACATTTGCATCCCTTTCAATAGACCATTTTACAGTTGAGGGCTCAGTATCCTAGAAATTGACTGAACCGTGAGGCCGAGGTTGATCTTGTTTTCATACAAACCTCTTTACTCTGCTAATGAAGACTATGCTTAAAAAATGGTACTTAGCATAAGATCAACATGATTTGCATAACAAAGAGGAAAGGTTTGTACCAAAACAAGATAAACTCCAGCCTCATTTTCACCTGTAACTGTAAAATGGTTCATTGAAAACGTTCAAGATAATGACTTTTAAGTGTATTTTATCTTTAGTTTCTACCCTTGTGATCCGCCTTATGTGACAGACGAGGTGAGACAAGCTCCTTCTTTCCAGCTATCCAAGTCAAAAATGGAATTTGAACTGAAGAAGATGCAGAACGAACTGCACAAGTCAGTGCCTTTCTTCAGCACGAGATATAAGGTGGGTTGTTGCATCGGTTTGGGTACTTGGCAGATGATTCTATATGCAGCTACGATCGGTCATAATTTGAAAAACTACAAGACAAAGATTCATCCATGACCTTTTCTTAATACTTGACAACTGGTCTTAAAATTATTTTGAGAGACACCCCCTCCTACCCATTTATTGTTGTAGAGATGACAAGGAGGCAATGCAAAAGTGGGTAACACAACAATATAATAATAATAATGATAATAATAATAATAATTTTTTATTATTATTGATAATATAACAATTCTTTATTGGTTACTAATAAAAACACATATCTAATGTTACAAAATCGATAATGATAAAGCTATATAAAATGGAGAAGATGGAAGAGAATAAGACAAAAACTATAAATAATCTAAAAGGAGTTACGTTAAAAAATTGAGTCTTTTTATATAAATGTATTCTTAAAAAAAGGGCCGAATGACTTACTCTTAATTAACACAGGAGAATAATTAACACGAGGTGAAGGATTAAAAAAAGATACCAATCCTAAATGTGATAAATATTAACAGTATTAATACTAAAATCGCGCTAGTTCCTTATCGATTTCAAAGCCTCTACTAATCCTAAATGTGAAAAATATTAAAAGTTCTAATCCTAAAAATCTCGCTATCTAGTTCCTTATCAATTTCAAAGTTGTTATCTGTAATATTCAGCGGAGCTGTAGCTCTTCGCGTGCAACGTGAGCCTCTCAAGCACAACAGCGCAGACCTCAGGAGGGCGAATGAGACTTTGTCACGAACCCATGACATTGTAGTGCTATAATCCTCTCCTTTCTTAGTTGGTAAAAGTTCAGCCAGTCTACTGTGATACCTCGTGCATTCATTAGCCATTCATCCTATAGTAGTAAATACCAGTGGTGTAAAGCAGCCTTGTTCGACTTCTAGCACCCTGCTAGCATACATTCTCTTCCTCTAACCCTCATGATGGCGGTAGATTTGCTTTGTGGTGTCAGGCCTTTATAAGACTCTGCATTTGGGCATCAAACCCTAATGTCAAAAAAGACAGGGCCTTGCCGCTCCTAAAAGAGAGTGAATGTCGAGCCGAGCATCGGCTACTACTGTTCGTACAAGGTGTCAGCACTTCTCCGTTTATCTCCTGGCCCGGGTTGTTCAAACGTTGGATAGCACTATCCACCGGATAAATCACTATCCAGCGGATAAGTATTACGGGAACCAATTGCACTATCCAGTGAATAGCGCTATCCACCTTTTGAACAACTGGGCCCTGAAGTACTGGGTCAATTTGGACGTCATAGTATGCCATCTGATCATTAGCATTTTGGCTTTCAAATCACGCAGCTCGTTATGTATTTGAATGATGAAGCCTCCTGGTCTACACACTATGCGTGGTCTACATCGAGAACACCTTCACACGCACAAGTAGACGGGGGTGTCGCTTATTTTCCATTCATATCTCAAATCAAAGCCGTCTGTGAATTCCCTCTTATGTAGAGTAAAGCCCACATCTTTAACTGGAATGAAAGTAAGGCAGCTGGACGCCCCCTTTCTCTGCAACAAGGTCGACAGCTCTCTTAGTTTGCTCGGGAAGGGAATTCTTCACTTCCTCTAGGTTGTCTCTAAGGCGCGCATGCTTCTCTCTACGGTTACATTGCTACAGTGTTCTTATCTGCACGATCGTCCGGGAGCTCTTGCGTGTGCGCCATACTGTTCGACTGGTGGTTCAGTTGTCGCAATTGAAGCTTCGTATTTCGAGGCTGCAATATGACATGGGTTTGTGATCCCAAGACCACCTATCCTTATAGCCAATGCTAACAAACCACGCTCAGCAGGCGTGCAGTGCCCTATGATAGCATTTGGGTAATATCCCATGCTATAAGTCCCAGTTCATTGAGCACGTTTCACCATTTCCTCAGCTCTCTCAGAGGACCAGCGCACGTTGCATCATCAGCATACCAAAATTGTTTTGTAAGGCGTGACGAATTTAAGCGTGTAATTAACGGTTGGAGGCCAATAGCGAGGAGACTCATTGCCAAGGGGTCACCTTGTGTAGCGCCCTCTGCAGATGTCAGCTCTTTTCAACCCATCACGAACAAGCTCGTAGGTTCTCCGTAGGTGTTTATATTGAGGGGCACAGAATCCTGGTATTATGTAAGGCAGCAGCCCTAGTGTTCAATGAATTAAACATATTTGAAGCATTAACTAATAGCACAGAATTCGTATCGTCAGCTTCAAATGTATTGTGCATGGCGTGAATGGCTACCCCGCCCCCAACAGTCGGGCCTGCGCACACTTGAGCGGCAGGCATCAATGATATGTTGCTTTGTCACTTTCTTCGCGCACTTTGCGATTATTCTCCTGATCACTTCTCCAAAACCAATCGGCCGAACTTCGCCATTTCTTTTGTCTAGTGGGATAAGACGGTTTGCCAAATTGGCTTGATTGTGAATGGTTCAATAAATTCAGTACAAGTCTCTTTGCTGGCACCGCTATAGCATCCCAAAGACCTGTGCTGGCTTTTTTGAACGACTTGCAGACGAGCATCCTTCTGAAACCATTAGCATCTACCCCAGTTGTGCCGCAGGAACAGTTAGTTCTTAATGCCGCTTCCCTCACCATTTCTCCATTTATTTCGTGGTATAGGATATGTGGGACTGATCCTCAAGAAGACAAAAGAGCAAAGCTCCTAGCTAGGCTTCCTGTACACTAGGGTGTTTATCCGTAAGTTGTCTCATTATGTCATCGCTCGATGGTAGAACACCCCCGCAGTCTTCTTCGCTCAAGTAACGCAGAGCTGAACTGATCCTCCCTTCTATGACCAGCTTTGTGAAAATCTCTGCCCGATTCGGTAGTTTAGGTGTTCGAGACCCTGTCAAACGCGTCTGTATCATACTCAGTAGAGTGTCTATTTCTCCCTCTTTCCATAATATTAGTCTCCTTGACAAACAGTCTAGATGATCATATAATGCTTTTGCGATAATAATACAGTAATAATGATAATACCAAGAAAATAACGACAAACACACTCTCACGCGGCACATTCGCTTGAAATTCTTGCATTATATTATTGCGCGCAACCTACAGATCAGTTAGTTCTCTGCTAACAGAGAACTAATTAATCTGTAGGTTGAGCTGACTTTTAAAATTAACTGTAAGCTCTTAGCCAGTGAGGAGATAGATGGTGCGAACAATATATAATAATTATAAAAATTATTGATGTTTAACGAATTGTCATTTCAGGGTCATGTGAATTGGGACACAGCAGTCCCAGCTAATATTGGGTATATCGCTTCCATTCTGTGGAACCAAAACAACTGTGCTGCCGAGGGAGGTCCAATGACAACAGCGTACGAGATTGAGGCTGGAAGTGACCTGTGTGAGATGATAGGATTGGATAGGGATCAGAGCATGGGGCACTTAGTAGCTGGAGGCTCAATTGCAAACATAGAAGCCATCTGGGTAGCAAGAAATCTGAAATATTATCCTCTCGGGCTTCAAGAGGCTTTGCTTAAAGATGAAAAGTTACGGGGAGCCCGTGAATACGAGGTGAGTTATTTCGTGCCAGTTATTTGGATGCGAAAGATTAGAAGCAACTCAGGGCGCCAGATTTTGTATTTTCTTTTACATGGTTAAAGTTCTTAATCATATGACAAAACCCTGTTTTTTTTTTTTAATTCATGTTATAACTGGATTAGTGCTCGATCAGCTTCAAATAAGCCCCTCATATTTCGAATAAGGTAAAAATTAAAAATTATAAGCGCACGCCTTAAAATAATCAGCCTCACCCCATCCCCCTGTATTGAATGCGTATATCACCGATGAATATAGCTTCGCAAATTTCATCGTCTAGGAGAAAGAACCATTTGGCACATCAAACTGACTGAAACAAAGGGTTTTTTTTTATTGTGGAGTTTCTACTAAAAGTACAAGTTTCAATATACCCGTGTCTTTTTATATCTGCTTGCCTGTTATCAGCATTCTTGTTCTAACTAGCTTATCAGAGATCACATCATTTAATTATTTTCGACGTGGAAACTCATACCTCATGATACCCCTCAGCTATAGATAGTTTTTGAGCGGGCAGGGGTGAATGCAGCCCTGACCCTTTCCCTCACCCTAGGGAACACATACTGCGTTAAAATATTTTTTAAAAAATTCATTCTTTAGATATATTTGCTGCATGTACGAGGGTTATATTCAGTTAAAACCTTACTTTCAATTAATATTTATAGATTTACCTGCCTCAAAAGGGCTGCAATATTCCTCTTGTAAATGCCACACAATGGGAGCTACTCAATCTGGATACGGACACTATTATCAAGATGCCGTTTGACGTAGCAGAAAAAGCAGGGCTGAGCCAAGAGGAGTTTAGAAAAATCATGGGAAAATATCTTTACGAGTGCATTGGTACCCAAGAATTTTGCCGCAGACACATGCTGACCAACAGTCCTTGCATAGTGGTGGGAAGCACCTATCATGTGTCCTTTCTGAAAGGAGTAACCATTGCAGGTCTTGGAAAGGAAAATCTGGTTACAGTGCCAGTAGACAAAAATGCTCGACTGGACGCTAACGGTACGTTGAAAATGGGTATTAGCTTTAGCATCTCATAGGGCTTTTTTACATGACGTCATTGTGGCCATGTTGCTTTAAAGAATTTCCAAAACAATGAAACGGCGCGGCCATGTTGGTGTCTAAAAAAATATCCTGTGGGAGTTAAAATCTTCTCTTATGTAAGCTGGTTTTCTTTCATTCCATAAATTTGCATAGATGCTAGCCAATGAGTGAAAACGCTCTATATAGGTGCGAGCATCCGTTTAGGGAAAAGAAAGAAATAACAATTTGCTCGTTATCCTTCTGGAGGAAAAAAACAAAGGAAGAAAGAAAGAAAGAAGGAAAGAGGAATAAATATGTTATTACATTACCAGGACTGCTGATATTCATTTGACCAAGCCTAAAAGCGGACCTTCTCTTGATTCTCCAATTTTTATATGGAAGGTGGCAAGGAAGTGGTGGCACAAAACAAGCAACAGTAAACATGAAAAGCACTATCAAGTATAATTCACTAATTAGCTTATAAAAGCGTTTTCCAATGGATAGAGATATTACATTCAGCCGATTATAGCGACTCATCCACCTTTTGAAATGGCCAAATGTATTAGGGATGGGAATGTAGAATTTAGGTGTGCATATTTTGTCAATCACTGTCATAAGCTAATGCCGCCGCTTTTCCACTAATTTCTGTCTACGATAACACCTCTCTTCATTCTCTCCTTCACCAGTATTGGAACTGACATTAAAAGAGAAAATGAAGAATCAGATTCCCGTGATCAGCGTGATAAGTATCATGGGAACAACAGAAGAGAGTGCTGTTGATCCTTTGGATGAAATTCTTTCTATCAGGGAAAAACTGAGCAAGGAGGTTAGTTTATCATTTTATCTTATTTTGTTCTAATTTTCCTCTCTATAAACATATCTTGGGCGGATGTGAATCGCCCGTCGAGGTATGCAGCCTGCGAGGAGCCTCTCAATTTGGGTCGTTTTTTCTTGCTGGGCTGTGTTACACATTTAGACTGATTTGCATAGAGTCAATTAAGGGACAGGCTAAGGAGAATGGAAAAGCTAAGGTAAAGTTAATAATTCCCTAAACACGCCCATTTTTGTATGGCCGCTAAGTCAGAAGCAGAAGTCTTGCTTTTTTAAGATCACAAGGAGAATCCCATAACTTTTTAACATTACACTTTGATATTCTGTCGGCGGCCTACGATGAAATGGGAAAAACTACATCCGCGATGAACGATCTTTCACCATCTCCAAAAGAGGATAGCTTTATCCTCCCCTACCATCATTGAGTCATATTCGTATCTACCGCCTATACTTCATCACTTTTTCAATATTTAAAGGATTGCTCGACTGTGTGCATTACTATACTATGCAGTTTTCAATCTTTGTTTCATTTCATTGCAGGGATTAAATTTCAGTATCCACGCAGACGCTGCCTGGGGTGCGTACTTTGCATGCATGCTGAGAGAGCCGACAGATGATACAGCTATGAAAAATGTCAAAGAGGAAGCATTTGTTCCTGAACTCTCCCTTAATTCGCACGTTAAAAAGCAGTTGCAAGTACGTATCCCTCGACAACAACAATATTTTCTTCTCCACAGAAACATAATTCAACAAGCGGTCAAATCTTTGAATTTTTCTGGAGGTTCACGGAATTTTAAGGAAAAATTCATAGAATGTTTAGAAATTTGGAGGAATGTATAAAGCTTTTGGTGAAATAATTGCAAGGTCTTTTGTCTAAGTCACAAAATGGTTTAAACTGTCTGCAACATTTGTCGATTTAGCGGTTTAAGCAAAGTTTTTCAATATTCTCACGTTTGCCACTGCCGTGCTGAATTCGAATTTAAGTAAATCATTTTAGCTCAGCTGGACAGTAGAACGACGTCTGAAACAGGCCTTAAATCCCCGTTAGCTCCATGGTCTTAGCTATCAACTTAGAAGCCAAATTTTGATAATTTTGAGATTCAAAAAAGAAATTGACTTATCTTCGTTAACGGAGGCCTATATAATCATCTTCAACAACAACAAAACTTTAAATCAATAAACAAATAAAATTACAAAAGTATTGCCCGCAGCTAGCAAGGCTTAATTCAAGGCGGCACAATACGTGCAAAATATAAGAAATAAAGACTAACTAAAGGCTATTAACTAAGGAAAGTTTACAGTTAGTTACAAATAGATGAAATAAAACTCGTAATATGGATGAGGACTAGATAACAGACTAAAGGAAAAAGAATTAAAGAAATAAATTGTAAAAGTAGAAACTAATAAGCAAGAATTTATTTTTCGACATTTTTGGCTAATTTTACCTTTTGGATTAAGGTTGGCGTATCAATATACTCATCTTCGGAGTTCAGAATATCAAAAAGTAACTTGCGGAGTGTTTTTTTCTTGTTCTTGGGGAGATGTCGGATGTTACAGGGTAATCAGTAACTAGAATGGTGTCCATACCGATCCTGGCTAATAATTCTACCTTATCTTTAGATTTTAATGTAAGCCAAAATACCCTAATGGAACTTCCACCACAAGAATATGATTCAAAGTTAAGCAAATACTATGACTTGGCTTTAGAAAGCAAAGTCATAAAAGAGATTGTTTAAACTGCAGTGGTTGCAGTGGTATTTTTCATTGGTATTAACACCTATATTTACTGTAGTGAATTTATTTACACAGTTTTAGATGTATAATACAAAGGACTTTGCAGTCTGGTGTTGCTTTTGTCTTGTCCGGAGGCGGATAACACCAAAGGCTACAGGGATCGATCAGCTCTTCACTGTAAAATTAGCTGTTTCGCCAATTGCAGGCCTGACTCTCTTTCTGTGATGTCATTTGGATAATGACTTTTCCATCACTGGGCGATTGACCAGCATAAATGAGCCCGTTATGAAAAGTTAGCTTGGGAGCAACAAACCTATCAAAATGCAATTTGATATAAATAATTAATAGCATACATTCAAGTTTTGTGATCACTACGTTTCTATATTAATTTTGTTGAAGGCTCTTAAGCACTGCGATACCATCACCTGCGACCCACACAAGTCTGGATTCTGCCCGTACCCAGCTGGGGCTATATGCTATCGTGACAAGAATCTTAACAATTTCCTCAACTTGTCAAGCGGCGTGCTGTACTATCACGGCGACTCTAACCTTGGCGATGTCGGTGTCGAAGGTTCAAAACCTGGCGCAGCTGCTTCCGGGGTGTTGCTAGCCAACAAGGTACGCAATATCTTTTGAACAGGCTGCATGCACGATATTGCGTCATTTTCAATAACCAACAAAAGATTGGTTCGTCCTTCTGAATATAGTGATGCTTTACACCGTACAGAGAAATCATTGGGGTATTAAAAAGCACTATCTTGATGTATTGTTGCAACAAAACCCCAATATAACCAATCTAAGGAATCCTAGTCAAGTAATAAAGCATAAAGGCAGCGAAAGTAAGTGTGAAAATCGTGGGGTTGAAATTAAGTTACTATCTGTTGAAGGTATTAAAGACTGACATTATAAATGCCTGCAAATATCACTACAAATCATGCTATCACCTATACTAACATCAGGGATGTATTTTTTAGGTCATAGGTCTTCACAAGAATGGCTATGGTCGCGTTTTAGCCGAATGTATGTTTACCTCAAAGATTCTTTACTGCTACTGGGTATGCCTGGCCGAAGACGATGACGACTTTGTTATTGAAACGACCAAGCCCTTACCCTTCGGGGTAACCAAGGCCTTTATAAGGGATAACATTCTTGGTAAAAGCAACGAGGAGCTGGCGAAGGTACTTTATGAACAGTGTATAGTAACTGACACTCTGTGATTGGACATAACGTCGCGATAAAGAGCTATGGCTATTTGGAGAGCACTTATGTTTGATTGAAGTAACCACCAAACACGTGATTTAAAACGCAGATCTGTATTCGTTTCTCTCTCTTTTAGGATGAAACCCTGATGACATTCCTTCAAGAAATTGGCCCCGACACTCTAATTCCCTGCTTTTCAGTAAATATCCGTGGTAATAAGGATGTCCGTATTACCAATAAAATAATCCAGGCAATTTTCAACGATCTTTGTCACATGTCTACTGGAGAATCAGAGCAGCGGATGCCTTTGATTGTGACGACATCCACCATGCAGGACCACAGGCACAGTTCCACTTTAGAGGACTTCAAGGAAAGACTCGGGGTAAGGAGAAAAAAAAGGCATGAGTAGTCTGACTAAAAGCACTGATTCTAACTCCGAAGTTCAATTATTATTTTCTTATCATAAATTAATAATAGTAGAGACCTTTAGATTCTGAGACGACTACGACTACGAGTACGAGATTTTCTCAATACTAAGTAGTGCTCGCGCGTGAGCCAGCGTCATTTTGGCGGGAAAATGTGTTAGCCGCCGTCGCTCCACTACGAGTTTTAGCAAGAATGTCGAAGTGGCGGAAACAAGTTATCAAATGTTAGAAGTTTTATCATTCTGCGATCGGGAGAGGGTGTAACCTCCTTCACCAAAGGTAACAGTGCTAACTTTTCTAGTGAAAAATGGTAAAATGAAGTTTTCCGGGGAGTCTATATTTTGAGAATAGGCGAAAAACTTTAAGTTAAATCTGGTACTCGTAGTCGTCCTCGTCTTTGAATCTAAAGGCCTCTATTAATAATAATAATGATGATGATGATGGTGATAATGGTGATTGTGATGAAGTTAATGATAACGGTAATACTAATGGTAACGATAAATTGCTCATCGCCTATCCCTGACCCTTTCGGCCTTTTTCTTAGGTGAATAGACTTTACTTCAAGTTGTTAACCAGGTCTGGTTGCCTAGTTACTTATAGACTGTAGTTTTCGAAAGCATTTATCTCGCCGATTTTTTGAAAACCAACCTAACGAAATTTGCAGTCATTTGAGTGAAAAGGGGTCAAAGGCAGGTTTTTAAGCTTGAGAAGCTCCAAAATCACAGTATCGAGGGGAAAGGAAAGGAGAAAAAGAAAGAGCGAGGAGAAGGAAAAGAAGAGAAGAGAAAAAAATCAATGGTTGCACTCCTAGTTTTTATAATAGCTACTTTGGCCGAAAAAAACTGTTGGACGCAAAAGGTCCATTTGGCAATAACGTTTTCAAAAATCGGGCTAGATATTGATGACAATGATTCTAAACGGCCTTTTTGTAAGTATCCTCCTAATTCCTCACACGTGCCTTCCATTGTGCTTTTTGTTTGATTTTTGTTGTACTTTCTTTCGAATTAAACAAAGCTTGACACAACCAACAAGGATGGAGTCAAATACGTCATCACCACTTGTTTAGATCCCTGGTCCACCTCAATGGAGTTCATGGATGACATGGCTGCTATAATGAGAAATACAATCCTCAGCGCTATTGGAACTGTAAGTGTTATTGCGTAACATCAGTTTTAGGCTCTACATATTACGCAATCAGGCAAAGTTCCTTTAGAGAACAGGATTACGCTCATAATCTTCATCCAGGGTCATAGATCACACTTGCCTTAGAGAGTTAAATGAGGCGGCACTGAGTTCAAATTCTACAAGCCTTAACCAAGCGATAGGCAAGAGGACATCCCAACTTTACGTGAAGTTCATAACTCGATTTATTTGACGAAAGGGTTCACGGACTAACCATAAAAACTTCATCGGTGATCGTACCTCCCCCCATATTGCACCTAAAGGATAAAAAAGAAAGGGACTCGGCTCAGTTTCCCTCCGAGAGTTGGTTCAACACTACCGTGAGTCGTATTTTTAGCTGATTCACCATTATAGCATTATAGGTTGCAGGCTGTAGTAAAGCGGACGGAGCAACCGCGCACGTACGTTACCGTCTTCGTGTTTCTTTTTCAATAGGTTACTGACCCACCAGACTACCACTCTTTTGTAAGTGTAGACAAGGTGAATACAGTGGACAAGGGATTATATGTTTGCTATGCAGGCAACTTTAATCAGGCTCAGCGAAAGTATTTCGTTGTCGCCAAGTTCAGTTTCACCTCAGACGATGACATGGCGACATTTAAGCAGAAATCTGAAAGTGGGTCGTCACCAATCGTTTTGCGAAGTTCCTAACAACAGGACAAGAAAAAGAAATCACTCCACGACCTTTTGTTTAACGATTCCGAAGAAACAAGGGAGAGCGAGAAGTTCGACTTTTATGTTGGTCTTCCTGCTGCGACCAGTGAGCCTTTCATGACAGCTGACATGAAGATTGTTGACGTCCCTCGCTATGACCATTTTGACAAAGCTGATGACGATTATCCTGAAAATGCAACTTACATCTTGTACGGTGACACAACCAATGCTTACCTGTTCCACGCTCCCACTAAGTTCCCCGATTACCTGCAGGTAAAAGCCTTTCCGACAAAACAAAGATTTGCATAGCCATTTATATTATAAAAGATTCTACTGAAAATAACGAATTCAAAACTATTTAGCTTCTGGTTAACTTAACTAACACTTCTCTGTAACAAACCCAATGGAATCTATATCTTCACCGGATTTGGAGAAAGCGTCACCGGGATGGCTTATTTTCCAGTGGGTTATTCTTTTCTGTAGTACGGTGTATCTCCCATAAAAGCTAAAAGGTTTGGCAAGCTTTACGTCTCAACCTGTATGAAACCTTTGAAAACCCTTTACGTTTTGCTCTAGAGAGAAGAACTAAAAGGTTTACACTTTTAAATGCGAGATCGATTACATAGTACCTCAGTGTACCCCTTCGTGTTCTTTTGCCAAGGGTAATTTTTTTTTTTTTTAAAACAAATATAAATAAAGAAATACACTGGTTTTGTAGAAGTCACGGTAGAAAGTGATCGGGAAGGCAAAAAATTAGCCTGGCAGAAACAAACAATTCGCCAGGTATCGGGGAGGTTACGTTATCTCTGGCTTCATTAAACCATTGGGTATAGTTTCACTAGGTCTGTTACAGAGGGGTGTTTAACTGGTACAAATGTTTGGAGAGCTAACTATCGACTCAATTCCCCGACACTCAGGATCTGCATAAGAAAACTGAAGAAGAGCTGTTGCCTAATTGTCTCCCATCCGTAAATGGTAAGACCACCCTGTTTATTGTCGGATGAGGGCTCTGAATCGTAGGCTCCATGGCACAGAACCTGTGTGTTGTAACAGTCTCTGGCAAAGATCATCTTTAGTATGAATCTCTAGGGAACAATTACATATCCATGCCCCATTTGTGATAGCCTTACCACTTTGATAAAAATGAATTTTATTTGCACAAGAATAAAAAATAATTATATATATTTTTTTATATCAGTGACTTTTCACTTAGCCTCGCTTTGAAACAGAGTCTTCAAGCAACTCGGAAATGGCCTATTTATGGGTGCCCCTTATCATTATTCCATATATTATTATTTTAAGTCGTTCTTTCTGTTCACGTCCTTTGGACACAAATTTGCCGCCTTTTTATTTTTAAATGAAACGGGAGTGGTAATTAATTGACAGGTAATTATATTCTTGGTTTAAGTTTCAATCCTTTTCAATCCTTTTCTTTTCTTTGTACGAGTTCGCTAACAACCTTCTTTATCGTTGGTACTGTCTAGATTGTATGCCTTAAAGAAGTCCCCACTGGTCTTGGCGATATTCAAGAAAAAGAAGTAATTCTCAAACAAGGCGTAGATGCTGAGCTTCTTGGGGTTCCTGGGGCACCGACCGAACAAGGAGGGAAGATTGTGGATCCCCTAATAGATCCCGAAGCAGATCCACAAAAAACATACGACATCCACTTCGTTGGAATTCAGGGGCAGGAACTTACGACAGCTGTCGCAATAAAGCGGAAGATTTGGTTCGATGGCGAGGTTTTGAACGACTCCGCTGCGACTCCCTGAGTATCTCGTGATTGAAGACCACCGGCCTCCTTGGAAATTGAGAAAAGTTCTACATAGGGGCCTAAGACCCATCATAATATGCATAACTAGTGGGAAAAGTGCCACATGTGCATGTAGAGTAATAAGATTAACCATGCATTTGATAAAACTTGACAAATGATTTAATGGACTTGATCGATTTGTGTGCACAGCCCACTTTAATTCTAGGCTTTCAGAAATTTAAGCATACAGCTTAGTCCTCAAGTAACATTAGCGTGAAACAACGGAGGTTTTAATATAAGTTAAGGTGTGTGATTATATACCAGCGATAAAAATCAAGGATTATAATGGTTTTAGGTGGAAAGTACATTTTTCTTTTCCGTTCAAGTTGCATACCGTAAAATTCCGAAAATAAGCCCCGGGGCTTATATTTTTCAAAGGCCCTTTTTGAGAAGTTTTTTTTTTGGAGGGGCTTATATTCGGAGGGGCTTATCTATGGAGGGAAATTTGCGTTTCAAAATTGATTGGGCTAGCCTTATAGTACGTTGGAAGGAAATTAACTGTTTTTACTTTGTTTTAATTTGTGTTTGATGGCAATTTCCAAGTACAAGCCCCCGGGGGGCTTATATATTTGGAGGGGAGATTTAATAGAGGGTTTTTTGCGTTACGAGTTTGGGGGGCTTATATTTGGAGGGGCTTATATATGGAGGGGCTTATTTTCGGAATTTTACGGTATTCGATTTTATGCCCAGAACAATTTTTATAAGAATTTGTAGTTTAAACTGCCTCAAGTAACCATTAAAATGCACTCAAATTAGACCACGAATGTCATCTTACGTAGAGCAATGCCTTTTTATAACTTGCCTGGCGAAAAATGGCCACAGGGGGTGAAAAGGAGAACTCTCGTTTAAAAGTTACGAGTACGCTCGTCAGAAAATTAGATTAAATCCCTAAAGGACACCAGTCTGGGCGTGGCTCAGTCTTTCATTTGACCTCTATTTGATTAATAATGATAATAGGACTGAGTGGAGTCCAATTCAGGTCTGTAATCATAAGAGTTATAAACGAAATCGGACGACCGCGAAGCGGCGTCCGATTTGGTTGATCACGAGAATGATTACAGACTTTATTACATCCACTTTGAAATCACTGGCTATCCTTGCAATCTGATTGGCTCTCAGCAGTGTGATTTATAATGGTAATTGAACTGAGTGGAGTGCAATTTGGTCTGAAATCATACGAGTGATTTCAAAATCGAACGAGCGCGCAGCGCGAGTTCGATTTGAAATCACAAGTATGATTTCAGACCAAAATTGCACGACACGAAGTTCAATTACCACTTTATTACATCCATTTTGAAATCGCAGAATTTAGTCAGTACTAATATTTTATTGATCGAG